CTCTGCCAGACTTTTGATTGGATTATTCCATTAAAAACAGACCCCTGGTGTGGTTTCACTCATTGGCTTTAGCAACCTTAACGCCGAGGGTTTGTTGAGCTGTCAGTGTGAAAAGGTTTCTTGGGATGAATTGTTTGTAATCAAATTCAGACAATGTACGATGATTAACACTCGTGTGAAAAACAATACGGAAATTATTATTAATTAGTAGGAATAGTTTTTATAAAACAACAGGGAGTCACATAAATCAGCCTGTTTTTCCTCTTCGGTGCTCTTCTGTCTTGCCGTGTTGGTTTGAAGCAGATTGTGGGATCTGTCACTTGATTTTTGTAGTGGCTCTCGCTGCAGTTTGGTGGAGCTACCATACTAACTTAAATCCTACTTACTCGTACATGACATCGACTTGCAAACTCGTGAAGTTATTATCTCGTGCCAATTATAAATACGTACAGCAAATATTGCACGTACTCTTGTCTAATGAGTTTGTTTTGGCCCTTAGGCTGGGCATGGAGCACGATGGCCAGGGGAATCGCTGCGCTGATGAAACCAGTATGGGCAGCATCATGGCCCCACTGGTCCAAGCAGCTTTCCATCGCTACCACTGGTCGCGTTGCAGCAAACAGGAGCTCAACAGATACATTCAGTATGTGCTGCTTCTCCCAGGCCTTTTTTTTTAAAAGTTCCCTTAGTTCCAGAAGAGTTCAAAGCTCTGTTTTCTCAATATCCCTCATGATATGTAATATTTACGCTTAACTCATTTTAATCTTTCCCACAGCTCCTATGATTGCCTTCTGGATGATCCCTTTGAACACAAGTGGCCCAAGCTTCCTGAGCTTCCTGGAATTAATTATTCAATGGATGAGCAGTGCCGCTTTGACTTTGGTGTTGGTTACAAAATGTGCACAGCTGTAAGTCCTGCACACCCGGATGCACTGCATTGACTAACGAAAGTCCTTCTTTATCTTTTGCGAGTGATTTTAACATGTAAGATCATTGGTGGATTACTGATAAAAGAGGGGGATGCATCATTTCTGAAATGGTGAAGTTAGGTTCACCATTTCTGAGTTGTAAAGAAAGAAAAAAACAGAAATGTTTAGATCAATTCTTAAAAAAATAAAATTCCCCTCTTTAGTTTCGAACCTACGACCCCTGCAAGCAGCTGTGGTGCAGCCACCCTGACAACCAGTATTTCTGTAAAACCAAAAAAGGCCCTCCAGTAGATGGGACGGAGTGTGCACCTGGAAAGGTAGGACATGGCACTGAAAGAGCTTTTATAAAAACTGACTTTTCATTCCTTTTATGTAATTTGATTGGTGTTTTTTCTTTATTTATTTAACTGGTAAAAAGTGGAATTGTCTTGGGATACTGAACGTCAGAACGGCTATGATGTTTTCAGGAAACTCAATTGCACTGTTTCAAGATGTTTTGAACCGTCCGTCATCCTTCCCATCTCATCTCATTTTCCAGTGGTGCTTCAAGGGTCACTGCATCTGGAAGTCCAGCCAGGAGCTGCAAGGGCATGATGGGAACTGGGGCTCCTGGTCAAAATACGGGTCATGTTCCAGGACGTGTGGCGGTGGAGTTCGTTCCCGCAGCAGGCAGTGCAATGACCCCCCGTGAGTATTGAGGCAGTGATGAGACTGATCCAAAACATAGTCATGACCTCTTGGATGAACACATTATTTTAATTCATCAAAGAAATTGTGTCATTGTTTTAAAACTATAAACGGAAATCTGGGAAGAACACTCCTGATTAGACAGCACAGATATTGTTCTTTCATCGGTATTAATAGCCTTTCTTTTTTTTTTTTTCTTTTTTTTGCAAACTCTTCATATTTTGTTTTGCTAAACTTCGGTATATTTTATTGTCATTTTATCTGATAGACCAAAACAAAGTAACATATAATGGTCAAGAATCAGGGAAGAGATTACAGAAACATATCAAAGAAACACATGTGCTTTTCCTTTTCCTTTCACATCTAAATTATTCAGTAGCTTATACTTGTCTATCACAAAAAGGGGTTTTTTGAATGGAGAGCTGAAGTATGCTGCATAGTGTTGTTGACTAATTAATAGGTTGGGTCATCAAGGTAATTAGAGGAACGGTTGAAGCATTTATGCCTTGCTACTAAAAAAAAATTATAATTGCTATGCATTTTCTGTTAAATAATGCAGCTAATGCCTTTACACTGTTTCAAATGGCAGAATCTGAAAAGTCAGACCAGGCTGACTATGTTATTCTGCATGCAAATGTAGCAATTAAAAAGAATAAAAACAGAAGATGAACCACAGTGCCTGACGTAATCCAGCTTCGTTTCCACCTATGCAAAGGAAAAACTGCAAAGAACTTAAAGCATACTGTATGGTCAAGCAGAACAATGAGAAAATCTTCATTAGATCGGCATACACCATTTCACGTTAATTAATAAAATCACATAAGCAAAGCTCAGAACCAGAAATCTAAGGAGTCTGAATCCTTGCCACGAATTTAACACCGCTGCTGTTTCTGTCGCGGGTCAGGCCTGCCTACGGCGGTCGAGACTGCCCAGGCTCTGCGTTTGACTACCAGATGTGCAACACAGAGGAGTGTGCAGGCCACTATGAAGACTTCCGCGCTCAGCAGTGCGTCCAGCGGAGCAACAAATACCACAACAACGTCAAGCACACCTGGCTGCCATATGAGCACCCAGATGGTAAGACTGTAAATACATTATTAAAGCTGGCTCTACATGTTGGGGGAGAAAATACTTTGTTGAATTTGTGTGTGTGTGTGTGTGTGTGTGCGTGCATGTGTGTGTGTGTGTGTCTGTGTGTGTTTGTTGTGTGTTTATTGTATGAATCAATTTTTCACATCTGAAAGACATTTTCACAAACTAATTAGTGACCCTTGGTTGTTGTTTCCAGAGGCTCGTAAATGCGAGCTAAGCTGTAAATCGAAGGAAACTGGGGAGGTGGTGTTCATGAACCAGGTGATGCATGATGGGACGAGGTGCAGCTACTCAGACCCCTTCAGCGTCTGCGCTCGAGGGGAGTGTCTGGTGAGTCTTGAGTGAAGCAGTCCACTGAAAGATTTAAAAAATAAAAAAATAAATAAAAACCACATCTGCAGCATTTATTTGCAATGTTTTACTTATCTCAGATCAGCCTGCAGGGGGCATATTGGTTACAGGGGTAAAGCCAATTATTCTTGTCATCATCAATACTCTTCAGCTCACTCTTGGGAATGCTGAGGTGTTTCCTGCAGGAATATCTCGACTGACTCCTTCTGATTCAATGGATCAGCTCTCTACTGGAGTTTCCACTCTCTCTAAGGCTGAGCCAAGCCTTCCCTCCTGCTTTTATTCAGGATATTGTTATTTTAGCCATGGAATATAGACGGATGGGTCAATTGAAAGCCTCCATTTTTGGCTCTGTTCGTTCCTCATGATAACAGACTTGCAAGTAATACCTAAATCCATCCATCCCCTTATCACTCCATCCTACCGCCACATATGAACGAGACACATGTTCTCAATTACTGATGTAACACCAGTGATTGCATACCCAGGCTATAACTTTTAAAGAACATCACTTCAGGAGTGAGTTGTTTTTCTAATGAGAGTTATATGTGAAACATGTGCGGTGTTCTTTATGTGTTTAACTCAGTTTTTAGGGGCAAAGCAGAAAGAAAAAATGAATAAAAACATAACGTTTTAAACTGCTAATCCCAAAAGGTTGACTGAAGTCAAACCTTCCCCATAAACTGAAAAACTTCAACCCTGGTAATATGAACATTGTTTAATAAAAAAGGGTGCAATTACTTCAAATTGAATATTTTTCTATGGTAGAATATAAGACAGTATGAAAAAAATATACAGGTGCAATTCACTGACTTAGACTATCACTAAAAATGTAATTTATTTCAGTAAACTGATTAAAAAGTGAAAATCCTACTTAAAATTATTACACAGAGTGTCTTCATAACAGGGAATTTTGATAATGATGGGATAGAGCTAATGAAAAACCAGTATTGATTTTCTCAAATAAAAAAGAATATTCGTAAACTGACAATGTTTTGAACACAAAAATGTTACATTACGTTACGCTTTTATTTATGTCATGACCTACAACAGTCATGTGGGAGACGAGGAGGATAAGCCTCAGGATGTCACTGCTAACGATGTATCCCAGCATATTTATAGAGAGTTGAGTGGAAGGAAAAAGCATGATAGTAAAAAGTGCAAAATCAAGAGATATTCACCTAGAGCACGTGTCAAACTCAAGGCCCGCGGGCCACATGTGGCCCGCCATGTCATTGAATATGGCCCCCCCAGCATTTTATAGGCNATACAGCCAGATCTAGTGCTGCTCAGCATTTCGGAGCTGTCCAACAACTAACAATGCTGAAAATTGAATGTAAAGCTGCAAATTCACAGATAGTCCATTTTTGACTTCTTTCGCCAACCCCCGGTCCGTGGACCGGTATCGGTCTGTGGACCAATTGGTACCGGGCCGCGCAAGAAATAATTAAATATTTCCGTTTTATGTATTATTTGAGTCTGGAGGATCTTTTATTTTGAAAATCCTTTAATCAGATTCTCTCAGTTACTTGCGAGGCAACACTGAGCCCACAAGCAGCAAAATGAGTAAGAAACCGATCAGATGTCTTTGGAAAGTTTCTTTGCAAAAGGGGAAAATGCCCTGAGAAGAGACAGGAGGATGGATTTATCCCGGACCGGTAGGTTACAAGCCGCTCTGCTAATGAGGCAATGAAGCTTGAAACTGCTTCGCCACGTAGACACCAAGCAGGCTGAGGACATAAGCAACACTTCGAGTGTTATTGTCTCCCATCACTCCCAGATGGGGAGTTGACATTTTTAACTGAATAAACAGAAACATATATAATAATGACCTTTACATATAATAATAAACATTTCCACATATCATCTCCGATATCCACCAGACTCACAGTTGCGCGATATGTGAGCTGTTTGGGATTCCCCTCTATTCTTACGTCACCACGCTTTCTGATTGGCTACCTGTCACATTCAGCAGGTTGTATTCTCGTTCCCAGTCAGGGTAAACCCCACAGGCTGTGATAAAAAGGCCAAGACAACCTTTTTATCGCTGAATATACCCTTTTTATTGGGTATATTCAGGATTTAGCGGGAACACCAACATGCAGAAGCCTTATCTGACGGTTCACGCCCCTCCACCCCCAGGCTCAGCAAAATTTTTCAAGTCTTGACCGGTCTGTGGTAATAAAAAGGTTGGGGACCACTGCTCTAGTTGATCTGCAGGGTCAACTGGATCAAATGGTGGTTTTACAAAGTGCTGAAGTATAAATTGTTTAACTATATGTCTGTCATATAAAACCACAATAAAAGGTAGGATGTAGTTGTAATCTCACAAAATTATGAACTGTTAAGGACTATGCAACACATTGTATTCACTCTACTCATGCTTAATTTACTAACTCTTTGCTTTTCATTAAAATGTTGAGCAGGACTGACAGCCAGTACACAAGCTGGATTCTGTTTTCCTCCTTGTGAAAGCAGACATGTTTATAAATCAACAGATGTCACTCTTTCAGTTCTGGTGTCAGTTGGAGATCTTCATTAAGGATTTCAAAGTGAGTCCCTTCTGGCAAAGCACAAACAGCCGGCAGCAGCAGCAACAGCAGCAGCAGAGGCACTTTACTTAAACAGTGCAGGGATAAAACGGAACAAGATGGCATTCCTAAGCATTATATTAGCATACTCTCTATTCTTATTCATACAGTTAATTGTCCAGAATGACTATAGTTTTAAGAAAGATCTGTGTCCTGCATGGTATTATCAACTCTTAAATAAGCAAAAAGTCCATGTAGAATTTTAGGTTGTTTATTGTCTGTTTTTATTAGAATTACAATAACTTCCCATAAAGGAATGTTTTTTTCCACATTGTCTACAGTTAAGTCAGAGAAAGGTTTTCTTGTTTTATGTGAACATGCCACACCCCATAAAATGCCGCCCTGGGCAGTTGCCATTGTTGCCCTTATCAGAAACCGCCACCGTTGATGTCCTTAGACATTGCTTCAATATTTCTACATGATGTTCTTTCCTCATTATGCCATCTATTTTATGAAGTGCACCAGCAGACAAACAACCCCACAACATAATGCATGTGTCACAATCGGGTTGGTGTTCCCAGGCTTACAAGCGTCCCTGTTTTTCCTCCAAATGTAACGATGGTCTTTGTGGCAAAACAGTTCCACTTTATTTTCATCAGACCGCAGAACATGTGCCCAAAAATTAAGGTCCCTGTGTGCATCTGTAGACTGTAATCTGGCTTTTTATGTTAGCAGCTTCCTCCTTGCTGAGTGGGTTTTTAGCCAATGGCTAAAACATATCACTTACCAGCTTCATCAGCGTCCTCACATCATCTCTGGCTGTTGTTATGGGCTCAGCACATTTCAGACCAAAAAAACATCTGTCTCCTTCCTGAGTGCTTTGATGGTTGGACATTCCCATCACGTCTATACTTACTTTATGTGTTATTTGTTTACAATGGGGCCATGGAGTGGAATGAGTCTTCTCTGCTCTGACTATTGGTGAAGGTTTGGTGTTGAACTAGCCTGACTGTTGCCTTCAGCTCAAAAAAAATGCTTGCTTCTTGCAAATCAATGGCTTTCTCCCAATGATTTAGATTGTCTCTGGTAGATTTTCTACTGGGCCAATCAGCGAACAGAAGGAGAAGTTGTGAACAATGACATCCATTTCCTGTGCTGTTTTAGAATTGTTGTCTTCCTGTAGTTTTAGCAGTGGCAGTGGAGGAAGAGAAGGAAGCCTCTCAGTCTGTGTTGGTCACACTTCAAAATATTAACTTAATATTAACAGCTGCCTCGTTTGGATCAAGCACTTCACTCTTCAAAGTGGAGGACGGTTCTTTATAACACGGTATTTTCCTCCACTGTAGAACCAGATGACTCTCCTCCTGGGAGATCATCACCACTGAAGTAGCCAGACTTTTAGAAATTAAGGCAAACAAGAATAAATCTTAGAGCAGCATAATGGAGAAGGATAGTCTTCATATCCAAATAAAACTAAAACATTTACAGAAAATAAAAAAAATGAATTTAACCTTTTACAAAAAGATCAAATTTGATGAACTACTATGTTGTTGAACACCAAGAGCCTAATTTCCTCAACTGAAGATGAGCAACCGGGCAAGAAGTGTAGGTTAATCTGGTCTTTTCGTCCTCAGCAGATTAGGGGGGTTGCAGATGACGAGGATCATCAGCAGTATTGACAGGAAAAGAATGTGACAGAACAGAATAACATAGACTAGGCAAAAAACCAAACCAAACACACTGGTATCATGATAAATACTGACCAAGCTCCATATAATGTCGTACAAGTCATAGTTCTATATTTTCTTGATAGGTCTACACTGCTGGAGGACACATTGACTGTCTTTATGTTGCCCATTTTCTTTAGTTCTCTTCACCATAAGGCAGACACTGGGCCCAGAGTGTCTGTTTGTCTGTCTCTCTCCTGTCCTCTCAACCTCCAGCCCGTGCAGTCAGATGGCTGCCTATCCTGAGCTTGTGGCTTATCTAAACGAGCGTGTCATTTGTTTTTACACTTGGCTCAGGGGGAAACTTCTTCATGCTTTTACAGAGTAGACTCTAGCCATTACCAAAGCAATATGAAGATGAAAGGTTGAGAACAAACCACTGGGATGAATCTGTGAGGTGCCTCTCACTTCAGACATTGTGACTTGTGGTGCCACAGTTGCTGGTATGTAAAGGTATTTTACTATTTTTAATCTGTGTGGAGTCAGTTTAGTCAGACTTACTTTGACTGAAGACACACACACCACATCTTTATTCTTGTTAATTATGATTATCTTCCCCTCACCACTGATGAAAACATGGCATTTAAGATAACAATATTATCAGACAAATAAAAAACACTTTAATACAGAAATGTGGGCATTGAAGAAAAGTATGCTTAGTACATACTTATAGGTTAATCTTAAAAGATACTTTTAATTTGAAGAAAGGGGCCTCATCAGAATGCATATTTTAAATTAATTTGAGTGTATATACAAAGAACTTCTAACTTCCTCCAACTTCAAAGATAAATCTTCAAAATACCAAGGGGAACAACTAAAAAATGTGGTACCTGTAATGCCAATCAAGAATGGGTGTAAATCATTTAGACATGCCATTTTAAAAAATATTTTTATAATTTGTTTTCCAAATTTGTATCCTTTGACAATTTTATGAGATTAAGTTTGTCTCATTTCCAGACAGAACCTCATAAAAACCTTTCAGCTTAATGAAATAATTGTACCTCTTAAATACAAGGAGTTGGTCTTAACTGTACTTGCATATAACACAACACAGCAACTATGTCTGTTAATTTTCATGGAGATTCTTTATATAGAACTCTGGATCAAAAAAAGGCAATTTCAAGATGAGACTGTAATTGCTTAGCAGCCTACTGACAGGGTTGGACTTCTCAGAGGTGGATGGTGGCAGGTTGGAAATATGAAGGTTGCCAACAATATTGCAGAAATGTTAAATTTTTTGATGGTAGGACCAGATACTTCAAAAGGGATCTCTGATAATATGAGCAGCATTAACATCTAGAGGACAGGATGTCTTTATTAAACAATGTCCCACAACTCATTAATGGAGACCAGTCAAAATGTGTTTAACATAGACACTGACATGATGTTTAAGCAAAAAGACAGTGCCAGGAAAAATAGCTGTGCTTGTTTTTGGCTGCTCCCTGATAGGATACTAAAAACATGTATGTCTTTGGAATAAAAATGTGAGATTACCTTTTTTCCATTTTCCCAGGTCTCCAATGAGCTCATGTAAGCAAGGAGGAAGTAATTCAACCACTGGTTTGAATTTCAGATTTTTCAGTATTTAGTATTACAGAATTGCAAAGGGAGATTAAATAATCCAATAAAGAGCTGAGTACATCAGCTAATGAGAGAACAATGGAAACAGAGATTAAAAACCATCAGAAAACTCACTTGCAGTGAGAGGATTTACTGTATAGGAGTGAAAGGACCTAGAGATGTGCTAAGAGCAGGGGATTAGAAAAATTATCATTAAGCATTATAGGATGAGCAGAGTTTATCCTGTTATCTGTGCATCTTTTTGTACTAAACTTTTTTCTGCCAGTAAGCTTTCCAGCATTATGCTTACATGCAGAAATCTAAACTACCAGCTTCTTTGCCAAAGACCTTTTGTGACTTTTTCTTATTGTGGAGAACATCAATGTGACTCTCCTTTCAGATGTCTTCCCTGGAACCTCTGCTAAAATCTTTATTGTAATAGTAGCTCCTTTAAGGTGTAAGCACTGTCTCACAAATTCTTAACTTGGTTGACATAAAGAGAGCCACATGATGGCCTGGTGGGATGTGGTGAGCTGAGTTAAACTGGAAGGAGGAGGCAAAAGGTGGACTCAATGGGAGGGGCTTGGAACCCAAATATTGCTTGCGGTTCTGTTTATACATATATATATATATATATATATATATATATATGCTGAAAGACAGACCTTTTTAAAAAATATTTCATTAGCTGTAATCAATATGAACAAAGATAAGTGCTTGAAATATATTTCTCTGTACATGATGAATTCATTCAATATTACTTTCACGTTTTGAATTTAATTACTGAAAGACGTAAACTTCTCATATAACTAGTCGCCAGGGCTGAGAGTTGTCTTACACATTACTGTGACACTCATATACATACTGTATAAACTTTTTAATATTTTAAAAATTCATAGCAAATAAAATACTTTTCTGTTCTAGAACATTTTAGTATTCTTTTCCACCCCTGATGGTAAGTGATTTTGTAATGTAATGCTGACAGAGCACAGCGTGTTTCAAGGTTGTGCTGAAAGGGTCCCACCAGAGTTCAAGCTCAGGCTGGGAGAGTGATATTGATTTGGCTTGGAAGAGGAATACAGAGGTGGCAGGCTGTGAAAAGTGAGCTAACAGCAGTGTGGATGTGCTCAGCTGGTGATGTACCCAAACAGAAAGCCCAGCGATTGATCAACATTCCTGCAGCGGAGCCTTAAACTGTGCTGAAGTACTCTACACTAAGTTTAACTTGAAGTTATTCTTTACATTACACCTTTACAAACATTTTCATTTAAACTTGTTTTCCTTCTTCTGCTATGGTTGTAGATTTTTCTTAGCTCCTGGAACTTGACTGTAGCTTTTCCAATAGTCTCATTAAAACCCATTGTGTCATAAAATGTACTGCTG